TATGTCTATTCGAGTGACGACTCTTATTTCTCTAGGATATATTCCTAGGAGTGGGATTGCTGGATCGAATGGTATGTCTATTTCTAGTTTTCTGTAGTTCATTATTTTAAGATTTTTTACATCTATGTTTACAGGTGAAATTGGCCCATACTTTTATTTCTTATGTTGTCCTTACTAGGTTTTGGTATCCAGATTCTGTCAGCCTCAAAGAATGAGCTGGACACTAGTCATTTTTTTTTCCTTCCCTGAAAAATATGATCTTAGACCAAATGATCTGTTTCTTGAAAGTTTGGTTGAACTTCTTTCTGTTCAACTGTTTGGGCTTAGTACTTTTTCTTTTGGGGAAGATTTAAAAGCATGTATTCAGTTCTTTAATGGTTTTGTTTAGGATTTCTGATTCTACTTAGGTCAGTTTTTAGAGATATTTTAAGGAATTTATCCATTTTGTCTGCATTTTTAAAATAATTGACATGAAGTTGTTCAAAACATTCATTGTCAATTTATGCTAATTATGCCCCCCCTTTTTTATTGTACTTTAGATGAAGGTTTACAGAACAAACTAGTTTCTCATTAAACAGTACACATATTGTTTATGACATTGGTTAACAACCCTACGACATGTCAACACTCTCCCTTCTCAATCTTGGGTCCCCTGTTACCAGCTTTCCTGTCCCCTCCTGCCTTCTAGTCCTTGCCCCTGGGCTGTTGTGACCCTTTAGTCTTGTTTTGTTTTATGGACCTGTCTTATCTTTGGCTGATGGGTGAATCTCAGGAGTGACTTCATTTCTGAACTAAAAGGGCATCAAGGGGCCATACTCTCAGGGTTTCTCCAGTCTCTGTCAGACCAGTAAGTCTGGTCTTTTCTTGTGAGTTAGAATTTTTTCTACATTTTTCTCCAGCCTTGTCCGGGACCCTCTATTGTGATCCCTGTCAGAGCAGTCAGTGCTGATGGCCGGGCACCATTTAGTTATACTGGACTTATTCTGGTGGAAGCCGTGGTGGATGTGGTCCGTTAGCCCTTTGGACTAATCTTTCCCTTGTATCTTTAGTTTTCTTCATTCTCCCTTGCTCCCGAACGGGTGAGACCAGTGGAGTATCTTAGATGAATTATGCCCCCTTTCTAATTCCTAATGTTTGTTGTGCCTTCTCTATTTTTTCCTTCATTGGTCTTGCCACAGGTTTTACATGTTTTCTTACCTTTTCAAAGAACCAGTGCTTGACACTGATTTTTTTATAAATGTCTATTTTTTATTTAATTGATTTCTGGTCTTTTCCTTTTGACATTTTTTAAGTGAAAAGCAG